AAAGACCACAAGTCCAAAGGTATACCAGACACACTCCATAGTAATGAACTACAGTAATCCAGTCTTGATGTAATAAATGCACAAACTAGTTTTTCAGCATCACTCCTGGAAAGTATGCTTCTAATCTTAGCAATATTCCGAAGGTGGAAGAAGGAAATCCTACAAACCTGTTTAACCTGGGATTTGAATGACATGTCCTGGTCAAAGATAACACCAAGGTTCCTAACTTTGTTCTCGGAGATTAATGTAATGCCATTCAGGTCAGGTGATTGGCTAAGCAGTTTCCTTTTCTGGATTTCTGGTCCAAAGATGAGAACTTCAGTGTTGTCTTGATTTAAAAGCAGAAAGTAGAGTCATCCAATGTTTTATGTCCTCAAGACAAGCCTGTAATCCACCCAACCGATCTTCAATGTGGTTCCAGTCGTACCAAAGCCAGCCGTAAACGCTAGAGGCTGTCGGTCTCCGTTAGACAGGGGTGGGGTCACCGGTTGGTTAGGGGGAGGTAAGCGGTTGCTCCAGAACTCTGCCTGCAGCCGTTTCCTGGTTCAGAGTCTGAAAAAGCCAGAGAGCAGACATCAGCATCAACACCGTCTCCCCGCGCCACTCGTTTAGAGCACAGTGACCCACACACACACACACACACACACACACACACACACACACACACACACACTGCTTTTAAATGACCCGCACTTGTATAGCACCTCTCAGAGTAAGGACTCCAGAACGCTTTACACTACAGTGTAACATTCATCCATTCACACACACATTCATACACTAATGGTGATGAGCTACGATGTAGCCACAGCTGCCCTGGGGTGCACTGAGGTGCATGTAGGATAAAAACTCAAGTTAGAAAACGAAGTTCAGCTAGTTAAGTTTATAATATATAATATAAGCTGTGTGTGTGTGTGTGCGCCCCCCCCAGCTGAGGATGAAGGAGCGACCCCCGTAAAGAGGCGGAGGGTGAGCGGTGAAGAGGACCGAGCTGGAGACTCTCCTCTTTGCGTGGCCTCCACCTCCTCCTCAGCTCTCCCAGGCTGCAGCGATCTGAAGCCTGACCACCAGGAGGCGCTCACACCCACCAGCACCTCGGACACCGAGACGCGAGACTCCTCCTTGATAGATCCGGGCACTGAGCAGGACCCGCCCTCTCCTGACTCTGCACCTACCACCTCCAGAAACCTGGACTCCTCTCTGAAAGAGGACAAGATGGAAGTCTCCTCCTCCTCATCATCATCATTTTCTTCCTCCTCCTCTTCCTCCTTGCTGCAGGAAGCAGGGGAGGGAGAAGGGACTGAGCCTCTGCAGCAGCACGTGGGGACTGCAGAAGAGCAAGATGAGAAGCAGCAGCTAGAGGAACGAAGGGGTGAGGGAACATCTACCTCCTCAGAGGAGGTGAAGGAGGAAAAGGCTGGATGTAAGGCCAGCAGAGGCTCCACCCCTTCCCTCTCAGAGGAGGCTGCCTTCCCATCTGCCCTTGGGTTGGTGGGGGAGGGACCAGACAGCGGTGGGGACCACGCCTCCTCCTCACAAGTGTCCCCACCTGACATGCTGGACATGCTGTACAGGACGGTGGAAGCCACCATCGCCATAGTAACCAAACTGTCTTCTAATGGCTCGCCCGCTTCATGATATCATCATCATCATCACCACAAAACCGCCATGAGATCTCCAACTTTCTCTTTTAAATCTGACTTCTTCAGAGGAACCAGAGGTTCTGCAGGGTTTGGTTCTGCTGAGAGGAACCAGAGGTTCTGCAGGGTTTGGTTCTGCTGAGAGGAACCAGAGGTTCTGCAGGGCTTTTGGTTCTGCTCAGAACAACCAAAGGTCCTGCGGGTCTGGGTTCTATGCTGCTGTCTGTTGCCTTCTGCTGATGTTTTCCGGGTTGCTTCAGTGGTTCTCTCCATGTCGTGTTGCTCTGATCAAATGAAGCCGACCCAAAACCAGAAACTTCTTCGAGCTGCAGCACATTTCTTCAAAGGGCAGAAGTGTTTATTGGTTGTTTTTGAGTGTATTTTATACTGAACTGAGTTGTTTTGGGAAGTGATTTTATTTGAGGTTAGCTGTAACGGGGAAAGGTTTACACGACTTGTGTCTCCTATGTAATTTAATTTTATTGCGTTTTTACTGTTTATAAAAATGGTCGTCCTCTGTGCCAGTTTTGTACCTTATGATGGAGGCAAAAAGGAAGTTGCCTTCACTTCTTCTGTGGTTTAATTATCCAGAAAGTAAGTTTACCTGTAAATGAAGAGACCCACAAGAAACTTGATTCTGTAAAGAATCCTTTCTAGTTATTGCCTGAAGGTGTATATGGAAAAAACTTTAAAATATCTATAAATATCTTTATATATATAAATATATATATATAAATATGGAATTACAGATATATAAAGTGGTGCTTTATTTGACTGTGGTTGAAATAAAGCTGCCATGTTGGACCAGCTGGAGCTTTTATTTTCTTGAGTACATTCCACAGTCGTGTTTGTTTTTGCTGCTTCTGCTGTGTTCTGATTTTCCTCTGAATCTTGTTTCAATAGAGAATAAATTAATAAAGCTGTTTTAATAAGAATAAGGACGCCATGGAGTTCATCTGAAGGCTTTTCTTACATTAAACAGAAGGTTGTATTAAAATAACAAATATTAAAGGTGAACTATGTAGGGATAGAGTAACAGTGACATCCTGTGGTCAGATTTGGTTACTGTAGTTTCAGTTTCTCTGGGTTAAATTTCACACATTAAAATAAATCTCAGTTACTAAAGAATCACTTCAAAACCCCTCAAACAGGTTTACAACATTTCCTACTCAGTCAGCATTTATTATGAATACAAAAAGGTCGAAGATGAAATCTTCAAAGAGAACGAATCCTTTAGCTCCCAAATGAAAAATAAACTGCATATTAGAGAAGCAGCAGCTTTAGAGAACCATTCGTTCATGTAAAGTCTGTCTTTTCACCAATATGAGATTATTATGAGCCAATGATTTACGAGATGGCTTACGTTTCAGGAACACATGAAACAAGCTCTATCAAGTTTAAAATGAGGAGACTAAAGGCGCAGAGGACCCAGAGGAACGTGAACATCCACAGGAATAAAGAGGACTAGTACGTTCTCAGTGATCTCTACGACGGTGTAACTGAGTGAGCTGAGTCCGTCCTGATCTAAAATCTTTTTAGTTTCTTGAAGTTTTTTGACATTGTCCAGATCCCGCTCATTGTGCCGGTCTCTTCCATGCTTAATCATCTTGTACCGTCCAATCACAGCGTCTGGTTGAGATATGGACTTTATACGCAACATGATTCGGTTGTACATGTCGTCGTCTTCACCGCCCCAGCCCCAGTAAGTGTTGGAGAACCCACTGACTGTCAAGAATTGTTCTTTTGATAATGCTGTGACCCCACCAAAAATGTCCTTATAGGGTAGTTCATAGTTAAACTTGTCTATAGCTACTGCAAAGTGTCTTGGGCGGTCAAAACATCTATAGAGGTTCCGGTCATCTAAAGGCACCATGTCTACATCAGAAAAGACAAAACAATCATAATCGTCTTCCTTCAGTGCTTCGACGTGTCCAGCATTCATCAGTTTAGCTTTGCTGTACACCCCATCTCCGTCCTGGTTGATGGTGCAAACGCCGTAGACCAGCTGCTGTCGTTTTAGGATCAGATGGAGGTAATCGAGCCAGTGGGTCAGGTGTTCATGGCAATTTCGGAATGGAATGATGATGGCCGTTGTTACACCCCTCTGTGGGCTCGGCTAGGAGGCGAGAGGGGAATAAACATAAGAAGGATGAGTTCAACGCAAAGAGACCCTTAGGGGGAGAAAAAGGCTTGACAAAGCAAAACCAAACTCAGCGTGTCCTTGTCTTTTCAAAGGTTTTATTAAAAAGGAAAAGAAAAACCAAAAGAAGGGGCCAAAAAAAAAACCCTTACCAAGAAATTAACCATAGCTGAAAATGTCCAGAGGTCCAACCACTCTATTAAAAAGGCTTGGAACTTAAGAAGGGGCAACAATCCCACCAAGTAGTTAAACCAAAAAGGTTTGTCTAAAAGACAAACCAAACAAGAGTACTAACTTAGCTAAAGTTGTCCAAATACCAAAAATGGCCCACGAAACAGAGAAGACCTCAAAAGGGGAATACCCCACCTGGAAAATTACCAAAGATGGTCCTGGGGACTCACCAAACCAAACATTACCGGTTAACTCACACAACACACTAAGTCCTGAAGTCACTTCTAAACAAGAAGTAACCGACAAGCTGGTTAAAAAACCACAAAACCATCAGACAACCATTAAGGGGAGAGAACACACATTGCTACTGCTTTTGAAGGGCCAGATGATGAGGTGAGAAGTCCCAGCTGGCCGTGACTGCCGCTCCGGCGCTGTCCATGGTCCTGAATGAACTTTCCCAAGGAGCCGCTGTCCACGGTGCTGCTCTGCTTCAATGCTGAACAGGGAACGGAGTGCAGCACACCACTGGGCTCCAAAACGGCGGCGGCCGTAACAGCCATCTGAAAAGAAAATCAAACAAAGGGTCAGCAAAAATGATTAATATCTATTAGGGATGTCCTGTTTCCATATGGAAGTAGTTTGATATCGGCCCAGAAACACTATCGAATTACATCGGACGGCATCAAAAATCTCCGATATAAGCGTTGCGTTAAGGTTCGCGCGTTTGCAACTCCGATTGAGTAATACCACTTGATCAAGCTTGATGTGTTGACATTCCACACTACGAAGTAGGTCAAAGTGTTTATGATTTGTGCTGATATCGTGTCGGTTTGATATCTGTGTCGGTCAATACTGAACGCTGCAATATCGGTATCGTATCAGAAGTGAAAAAGTTGTATCGGGACAATTATCATCAACATAAATGTCTGAACTGAAGTGAAAGTTCAAAGACTTAACTTCTGCTGACTCTCGGAGGCCGAACAGTTGTAAGTCAGTAAAGTGACATGCAACACATCGATTTATCATCATCGATCGTGTTCGCTGCATGAGTCCCATCTTCCATCTTAAATTTCCCAGATTAAATGTATTTAAAATACAGATTAGGGAGAAAAAGCTCCGGTGCGCCTGTTTCAGGATCTAGAATTGAGCCACATCACAGCTGAGCTTCAGACGACAGGATCTGGAGTCTTATTTCCTGATATTCCGACATCTCTCCTCTGATTGGCTGACAGCAGCACGACTCAACCACTGACTCTGATCGGCAACGTTGATGTTTTCTCTCCATAAATAACACAAACCTGGAGGAGTTCTGCTGTGTTGTGGAGTTGCTAATGCTAACAGTTAGCTTCTATTAGCCGAGACGTTCTCTGCTGTTTCCTGGACGCTAAACCAAAAACAGCTTCCCCGTCGTGAGTCCAGATGGGTGAGTCCATGAATGTTAGTGACGGTGTGACGTAGATCTGTCAGGATTTTCTGATCCTAGAGTTTCACCGTCTGTTTTCTATCAGACGCTACTGCAGGAGACAGGTGTAGGAGACTATTTCCATGAAACACTGAAACACCCGTTAGGAAATAATCATTTTAAAATGGTTTTTCAATTAAATCAACCTTTAATTTAAAAAAAGTCAGAAAAAGAGTTCTGTTTTAAGATAATTTTACATTTCTTTAGTTTTTATTTTTACTCATAAGAATCACTAAAAGGCCCTTCTCGCTTTTAAACCTACCTTTTGTTTTGAGAGGCAGTCTGGTGGTTGGCGTCGTCCTCCCACCTGAAGTGAAGAAACAAACTGCTTTCTCACGTCCTCCAGAGTCCGACTAGTTTCTAAATCCACCTGAAGTGGACCCGTAAGGTTAGGTGGGGTCTCAGGACACGACGCCAGAGGTTCTGCTCCATCAGATGTATTTCCCCAGATCTCTGATGCTTCATTCACCTGACCATGTTCTTTGATCCTCCACATAAATCCAGCTTTTATATTTTCGGCATGTCGTGCCTTGGGAAATGATCTCGAAGGGCAGTCTTTGTGGTAAAATAAAAATATAGCAAAACATGCAACACCAAGGAGAGAATAGAGTACTAGAAAGGGAAAGACCTTTTTCTGCATGGTTCATCTCTCAGTGCAGAGCGATCTGTACACAACAGCTCTTCATTTCTGTACATAAGCCACGCCCACTAAACCAGCTGGTGACCTAAACTTGTTCTCTACCATTAGGAGCTTCTTTCCTGAACCTGGAGGAGGAGCTTTGGACTCACCTGTACTATAACGATGTTGTTTCACTCATTCATCCTCAACCTATAACCACTCACCTGCTTTTTGATTGTCCATGTGAACATCAGATTTTTTTTATTTTTTACCCGTAAGCCCCATAGAGCTGGAGCGCGGAGGCCCCAGGTAGACCGCAGCAGGACTCCCTGAGATCATAACGACCTGCCCGCACCAGAGCAGGCCAAGTTCAGAACACAGTAGCCTGAGAGCCCCTGACCCTGACAGAGCCCCACCAGAGGGCGAGTCAGATGATGCCACTACACTCAGCCCCAGACACAAGAGCTGCAATCACACAGGCAGACCGAGGCACCATCCACTGCAAATGTGGCGGGGGAGGGTTGGTTAAGCTGTTGTAGCACCACAACATGTCCCAAGAGTGGGAAGGAGTTCAGAAGTCTACCTGACAGGTAACGTCACACACTCCCACCTTCATACTTGCACACTGAACCTAATACACGTCGTACACCCACCCACACTCCCCATACGCACTATGGTCCCAGTACTGCTGCTCAGAGGCCACAACCATTCCTGGACCCAGGCCAGCAGAAGGTCCCGTTCTTACTGGGTTATTTTATTTTTAATTTTCAACCTGAATCACTGAGTTTGCCCTACAGCGGTGTGGTTGGTGCAGGAATCCAGCATGATTTATTGGTGTTGGTTCAGGGGTTTGAGTGGGTGTCCTCAGTCTGTCCTCTCTGACTTTATCTCCAAAACATCAGCTGTCCCTCTCATTGGCGGTTTTAAACAGAGGCCCACAGGGGCCTGGGCCCCTATAGAACTGGCCCTGGTCCCTGTTATGGCCCCTGTGCTGAAGAAATTGGATTTATTTTTTCCCGCGCTGCCTCGGAGATGGGAACTAATGCGCTGCAGCGTTTCACACGGAGCCTTTAGAGCGCAGCCAGAGTCGGATTAACGCAAAGCCAAAGTAGGCACGTGCCTAGGGCCTGATTGGCTGGATGGGGCCCAGACAGAGGAACAAAATTAAAAATAAATAAATTAAAAATTAAATGTACTAATGTCCTATGATAGAATTTGTAGATAGGACTCATATCTACAATTTATTTCAATATTTATTAATTAACTAAAAATAGTGACGTTTATCTTAACCATAGACCGTTTCATTGGCTACGTCACATTAAGGCGCCACCCAATTAAGGACGTCAGAGAAGCGGTCAGAGTCAGAGCGGTACACAACAAAGCTAGCAGGTGTTTTTGAGTGGGCTAACTTTCACGATGCTTTCGGGTGCGTCAAAACGTAAAAATATATATAAATGAAGAGGAACAAAAGAAGAGACAGCGGGGGGCTTTACAGAAGTTTCTGTCGGGCTATTTGGGCAGCCGTCTGACAGCTGTGAACCTGCTCGAGTCAGCAGAGTCAGCCCAAGCCAGACCCGGAGGAGACACGGCCCGAAGATGCGACGGGAAATGCGGCGGAAGACGCTGTAGCGCCAACGCCGTCAACATCAACGCCTTCACAGAAGGACAAACAGGAAGAACAGCAGCCAGCCAGAAGTGAGCCCAATACATGATATCGATGGTTAAAGGTCATACATATTTCCTGTCTTTTAGTTTGAAAAGCTTGTCAATTTCCTGTTTGGTGAATGTTTCCGGCGGAAGCTTGAAGATCAGAAATGCGTCTAGCTTAACGCTGGTGGTGCTGAGGAGAGCCGAGCATCTCCTTCTGCGGCAGGTCTCCACTAAGAGGCCGGCTGTGGCGGCAGCGGGGAGGATGTGAGGCCGAAGACGTTTCCTGGTGTAATTATCACAAGTCCACCCGCGCCTGCTCTCCGTACCCCGACTGTCGCTGCGGGCACCCCCGGTTCAGTAATGGTGGATTTGACCGAAAGTGTCGCATCGACGCCCGGACACATCGGACATGGACAGGGCTGCAGTAACGGCAGGAAAACGTCCAAAAAGTCCCGGACGAGACGAGGCAAACGAGGAAAGAGAAGACGGAACAAAAGGACCAGGAACAACAAAACCCCTCCACCGTTTCTACCACCGGAGGTACCGGCACAAGCTAACCTAGTCAGCTAGCTCCTGCTACCCACGGTCCTGAAAAACACTCGCAAACACCGCATCGTCTGCATCTGTAATGGGTTTGGACCGTGGTGAAGTTAGTTTGGAGCTAAGATGTGAGACACTGGCTCCATGGTTCAGTAGGGTCAGTGATGATGGGTGTCCCCGGAGTCGGCGGCTAGCTCTGCCCCGTGTACCCCGCCGAGGAGAGCGGTCTCAGGGACCGTCAACAAATGTTTAGCCAGTCGAAAATACGCACAGATTAAAAAAAAGTACTTCAAACCCAAGTGGCTCCTAACCAATGTCCAGTTGTGTTATTAAACTAGACCAACGGTTTTAAACACATTTCATTGAATTTAACATGGCTAAATGAAAAGACTCGGACTAGGAATGGAGCGAAAACGTGATCGGAACATCCCTACATTTATGGAAAACTCAGATTTTTTATCAGTTATTCTGTTATTCACACAGGATTAAACAATGCTTTCATTTAACCTGTTTATGAACTAGCACCAGTAATATTAGCTAGTTAAACACAGTTGTGTAACTAGGTAATAACGCAGCAGTAGTTAAGGTGAAATTACGGTAAAAGAAATAGAATTTTTTTGGGGTTTTAAAAAACGTGTAACTCAGATGGGATTTTAATTTACATTTTCACAAACTAGCATGCTGCCTGCACTTAGATAATTGCAGCACTCCAGGTGCTTACGGTCAACTGGTCCAGCACCACCATACCACAGCCAGCTCGGCTACACCTGTACCTAACCCTAACCCTGCTCTCCATCAGGGCCCTCATTTATCAACCATACTTATGAACGATCGGTGCATATTTCGTGTGTGGGAACTAGCGCTGCACAATATTGCAAATATATCGTTATGGCGATATCAGCATGCCCAATATGCATATCTCAAAGAACAGATAAATATCGCAATGAATGGTCAGCTCAAATGTTTGCTACACATAATACAATCTGTCAATCAAACAGAAGCATGATGTTTCTTAACACATCAAATAGAGCTCTTCACCCATTTGGCCAATTGGGTGGATTCTCACGGGTTAGATGCCCGCCCCCGAGGCGGACGGCACTTAATTTTGATGGTTAGCAAACACCTGAGTTAGCTTTGTTCTGCTCTTTCTGCTGATTCTGCTTTTCCTGAGATCCACAGATTGTCTTCTTGTTCATTTTTATTTTCCCTTTCCTCACATCTCTTGCTTTTTTCATTTTTATGATTTTTGTTGTTGTCGTCGTCGTCGTCTTCCTCCGCTTATCCGGGTCCGGGTCACGGGGGCAGCATCCCAACTAGGGAGCTCCAGACGTCCTCTCCCCGGCCACCTCCACCAGCTCCTCCGGCAGGACCCCAAGGCATTCCCGGACCAGATTGGAGATGTAACCTCTCCAACGTGTCCTGGGTCGACCCGGGGGTCTCCTGCCAGCAGGACATGCCCGAAACACCTCCCCAGGGAGGCGTCCAGGAGGCATCCTGACCAGATTCCCAAACCACCTCAACTGACTCCTTTTGATCCGGAGGAGCAGCGGTTCTACTCCGAGTCCCTCCCGAATGTCCGAGCTTCTCACTCTATCTATAAGGCTGAGCCCGGCCACCCTACGGAGGAAACTCATTTCGACCGCTTGTATCCGCGATCTCGTTCATTCGGTCATTACCCAAAGCTCATGACCATAGGTGAGGATTGGGACGTAGATCGACCGGTAAATCGAGAGCCTGGCTTTCTGGCTCAGCTCCCTCTTCACCACGACAGATCGGCTCAGCATCCCCATCACTGCAGACACTGAACCAATCCTCCTGTCGAGCTCCCGATCCCTCCTACCCTCACTCGTGAACAAGACCCCGAGATACTTAAACTCCTCCACTTGAGGTAGGACCTCTCCCCCGACCCAGAGTTGGCAAGCCACCCTTTTCCGGTCGAGAACCATGGTCTCAGATTTGGAGGTGCTGATCCTCATCCCAGCCGCTTCACACTCGACCGCGAACCTACCCAGCAAGAGCTGAAGGTCAGAGCTGGATGAAGCTAGGAGGACCACATCATCCGCAAAATGCAGAGACGAGATTCTCCTGCCACCAAACTCGAGACACTCCACACCACGGCTGCGCCTAGAAATTCTGTCCATAAAGGTAATGAACAGAACCGGTGACAAAGGGCAGCCCTGGCAGAGTCCAACCCTCACCGGGAACAGGTCCGACTTACTGCCGGCTATGCGGACCAAACTCCCGCTCCTCTGGTAAAGGGACTGAATGGCCCTCAACAGAAAGCCACCCACCCCATACTCCTTGAGCGTCCCCCACAGGGTGCCCCTGGGGACACGGTCATAAGCCTTCTCCAAATCCACAAAACACATGTGGATTGGTGGGGCAAACTCCCATGCCCCCTCCATCACCCTTGCAAGGGTATAGAGCTGGTCCACAGTTCCACGGTCAGGACGAAAACCACATTGCTCCTCCTCAATCTGAGATTTAACTATCGATCGGACCCTCCTCTCCAGTATCTTGGAGTAGACCTTTCCAGGGAGGCTGAGGAGTGTGATCCCCCTATAGTTGGAACACACTCTCAGGTCACCCTTCTTAAAGATGGGGACCACCATCCCGGTCTGCCACTCCACAGGAACTGCCCCCAATGACCACGCAATGTTGCAGAGACGTGTCAACCACGACAGCCCTACAACATCCATAGCCTTGAGATACCCAGGACAAATCTCATCCGCCCCGGGATTCTGACGCTGTGTAGTTGTTTGACTACCTCAGCAATTTCTGCCCCCGAGATTGGACAGTCCATCCCCAGGTCTTCCGGCTCTGGTTCCTCCTCGGAATGTGCATAGGTGGGATTGAGGAGCTCCTCAAAGTATTCCTTCCACCATCCGACTATAGCTCCAGTTGACGTCAGCAGCTCCCCATCCCCACTTTAAACAGTGTGAGCGAGTTGCTGCCTCCCTCTCCTGAGGCGCCGGACAGTTTGCCAGAACCTCTTTGGAGCCGATCGATAGTCTTTCTCCATGGCCTCACCAAACTCCTCCCATGCCCAAGATTTTGCTTCAGCAACTGCCACTGCTGCACCCGCTTGGCTATCCGGTACCTGTCTGCTGCCTCCGGAAACCCACAGACCAGCCACGCCCTGTAGGCCTCCTTCTTCAGCCTGACCGCTCCTCAAACCTCTGTTGTCCACCAGTGGGTACAGGGATTGCCACCACGACTGGCACCGGCCACCTTGCGACCACAGCTAGCAACAGCCGCCTCAACAATCGCAGAGTGGAACAAGGCCCACTCGGAGTCAATGTCCCCCACTGCTCTCGGGAAGCGGTCAAAGCTCTGCCGGAGGTGGGAGTTCAAGACCGACTTGACAGGTTCTTCTGCCAGGCGTTCCCAGCAGACCCTCACTATGCGTTTGGGTCTGCCAGGTCTACGCGTCTTCCCCTGCCATCTGATCCAACTCACAACCAGGTGGTGATCAGTTGACAGCTCCGCTCCTCTCTTCACTCAGGTGTCCAAAACATACGGCCGCAGGTCAGATGATATGACTACAAAGTCTATCATCGACCTGCGACCTAGGCTGCCCTGGTACCAAGTGTACCAGTGGGCATCCTTATGTTCGAATATGGTGTTCGTTTTGGCCAAACTGCGGCTTGCACAGAAGTCCAATAATGAAACACCACTCGAGTTCAGATCAGGCGGGCCGTTCCTCCCAATCACACCCCTCCAGGTCAAGCTGTCATTGCCCACGTGAGCACTGAAGTCCCCCAGCAGGACAATGGAGTCCCCTGATGGAGCACTATCTAGCACTCGTCCCAGGGACTCCAAAAAGGGTGGGTACTCTGAACTGATACTTGGCCCATAAGAACAATTAACAGTCAAGACCCGTTCCCCGACCCGAAGGCGCAGGGAAGCTACCCTCTCATCCCCCAACACACAGGCAGAGAGTCTTGGGGCTAACAAAAAGCCAACCCCAGCCCCCCCCCCCCCACCCCCCCACCCCCCCCCACCCGGAGCAACTCCAGCAAAGGAGAGTGTCCAACCCCTCTCATGGACTTGGGTTCCAGAGCCAATGCTATGTGTCGAGGTGAGTCCGACCATATCTAGCCGGTACCGCTCAACCTCTGTCACAAGCTCCTGCTCCTTCCTCGCCAGCGAGGTGACGTTCCATGTCCCAAAAACCAGTTTTCTTGTCCGGGGATCAGACCGCCAAGGCTCCTGCCTTGGTCTGCCAACTGATCCACAGTGCACCAGACCCTTCATGTTCCTCCTGCGGGTGGTGGGTCCCCAGTTGGATGAGCCCATGTATCCGGTTTGGACTGGGACCGGCTGGGCCCTATGGGCGAAAGCCTGGCCACCAGGCGCTCGCTCACGGGCCCCAACCCCAGGCCTGGCTCCAGGGTGGGACCCCGGTAACCCTCCATGCCGGGTACTCCGACTCTTTGAATTTACATCCATGAAAGATCCTCTGAACCATTCTTTGTCTCACCCTTCACCAAAGACCAATTTGTCATGGGAGACCCTACCAGGGGCACAAAGTGCCCCAGACAACATAGCTCCTAGGATCATTAGGGCACTCAAACTCCTCCACCACGATAAGGTGACGGTTCAAGGATGAGATTTTATTTTATTTTATTTATTTATTTATCTTTTGTTATTTTTTAAATTTCTTGAGGAGAGACGAGCCAAACCCCTCCCTCCCCTGTGTAATGAGGAAACATCTACAGATAGCCGGAGTGGCCAAATGACCTCAAACGTATTGTAAGGGTTTGAATAGTAAACTATAGGGTTAACATTTTATTTTGAAGGTGAGCTGAACGCGTGAGAAATGTTGTTCCAGTTTTTTTCTGCTGTGGTTCGCTATGCTATTAAATACTCAGTTTCGAGCGATTCTGTTGAAAAAGTGAAGAGTTTGTAAGGCGTGGGTTACGGCGACAGCAGCCCGAAAGTACTACTCATAAAAGAGCAACCAGAGACTCCGAGTCATTACAGTATAATCACTGATATGAGTCAATACTGTTAGACTGCAGCCATGTTTGCCCTGATAACTCCACGGTGCATGACCCTTGTGATCTTCAGTAGATGCAATTACATCATCATACATGTAGCTTAACATGACAGATTTATTTTCTCTGGACAAGAAATATATGATATGACCACCTCTAGATGAAGTTTAAATAATTTTACATTAATTATAAATATATAATTAAAAAGTGCCTGTGGGACATTTGATACACTTCTAGCACTGTGTGTGTGTGTGTGTCAAAGTCAAAGTAGTCAAAAGTCAAAGTCATTTATTGTCATTTCTACCATATGTGCAGGACATACAGAGAAACGAAATTGAGTTTCAGCACACACAATTCAAAGATCAGACATATGTGGGTAAGACACATAACAAGAATTGGTGACTGCGGTCATTCGCAACATGAGTCGCGCTACCTTAATAGATAGATGAAAAGGGTGTTACATGAGGATAAGTGGGGGTAGGTAAAAAAAGGAATAGCAGAGTTAGCCCCAGCGGGGAGTAACTCTATTATACAAAAAAACTCCTCCTTTAACATGGAAGCACAAACAGCACAGATACAACATCAAAGTCCGATGGGGAGGCGGGGTTGGGCGGGATCCTGAAGCCTCCAATGGGAGCTGCCACTGCGGCGCATCAACCAGCTGCAGACCAACAGGTGGGAGGGAGAGATAAGGACCAGAGAGCACATTGAGTTTCCCGCAGATGTCTCAATCTGAAGGAAGAGGGTGAAGGTCGGGACACAGCATCTGTCGGCATTCCTCCTTTCGTGTGGGTGTGTTGAAGCAGCCTTGAGAGGCTGCTATGGCGTCAGATAAGGATAAACAAGACTTTGTTTAGGGCAGGCAGAGATAATTTTCCTCTCCACCTTGTAGTCTCTAAGTGGTCATTCATGTCCACCAGTGAAGCCAATTTTACGTTCTAAACATCCCCACATTGTCCGGCGACCCTCTCCGAGATCATATCCATCTTGCGTACTAATACAGGCAACGCCGCGAGGACATTATCCAGCTTGCGGTTCACCTCGAGTAACGTCCCAGTTTGTGAGGTCGCCGCACGAGCGGCACATTCCGTGGGCACGGGTCGCACTCCAATCGCTCCCGGCTTCCCAAATTTCCAGAAAACCAGATATCCTCCCACTCCAATCAGAAGAAACCCAGTGATCATCAGGCCGAACATCCACAAATCTTCCACGTCCTCGATGGACAGCTGAGAGAGGCACACGATTCGCCAGACCTCCCAAGAATCGAGTGCATATCCTGCTGCGAATGTCCCCTCGGGACAGGTGGGAGCCCCCTTCTCCGTTCTCATCGTAGAAAAAATTTTGTCAATCGCGTTGAATGACCAGTTAATTAAGTCCATATTTCCAAAAAAGAAGTAGTGGTTTCAGGAGAAATGCAGAGAAGCGCTCTGTAGGCAGACAGGACAAGAGCCTTGGGGAAGCCGATAAGGGAGCTGAGAAAAAAGCGTCTGTACTCTCTGAAGGCTGAGAAGAAAGGCCCAGACCAATAAGAAAGCTCTTATTGGTCTGGGAAAGGTGTGTGTATGTGTGTGTGTGTGTGTGTGTGTGTTAACAGACAGCTGTACTCGTATCTCTAAAGATCAGACTGGTAGAGAATAGGCACTAAGGTTAAAGTTTGACAAGAATAAATACATTTTTATGCATTTAATCTACTGATGTATGTTTTTAATTTCTCAAGACAGCTTGAAGTGAGTTAACTTGTAAATATTTTACAGGAGAAAAAATATCGAGATATATATCGTAGATCGGAATTCAGCTAAAATTTATTAAGACATATCGCCCGCCCAGCCCTAGATTACACTGACATTTTTTTATTTTACGAGACAAATTAGGAGTCAGGCGCAAGCAGGAGCATCATGGCTGACTGACCTGCTGTAAAAAGATACGCAGCAAGCGTTTTATTCACTAAAGGAAATGACGGAAAAGATTGGTTTAGAGGTGGCGAGCACATGAAGAGATGGAGGAGAATGAGGGACATATTTTTCATTGATCCATCAGAGATAGTCTCTGATGACCGCTACTGCAGCAGAGCTTTCTTATTGGTCTGTGTTGAAGCTTTAAAGTAACACAGAGCACTTTCCTACTCCTTCGCTCTACTGGTTAAAAGTGGAATTTCAACCCTACTGCAGCCTGTTGTGGCTAGCGCTAACAATGAGCTAACGCTAACATGAGCCAACTAATACTAAATTAAACCACAAAGTAAAACGATCCACACTGTTGCACAAAAGAATAATTACTTACAAGCCCAGTAGCAACAAAGACAGGTCACCATCAGTCTGTGATTTTGTAGCCTCCTTTAGCTCGCTCAAACTAGTGTAGACCACACCGATGTTCACTCATGTTTTAGCTCTTTGCTTCACCTCCAAAGAGATTACTCTCTTATTTTTACTTCCTGGCTCAGCCATAATACCAACAGACTAAGCAAACGTCTTCTTTTTCTTCTTCTTGTGCTCTTGTGACGATCAGCGAACTTAAAAAGCTAACCGCTAGCATTACTGCTAACAGGTGTAAAGCAGGTAAAGAGCTTCCCCATTGGACACCTACCTGCTCCACAAAACTGCTACGTGCACTTTTAGGCCAGTAGAGGGCTACATGTGGTGTCTAATCTGAAACGGGTCAAGTTTCTAACTCAACAGTCACTGAGATTAATGTTAAAGCGACCTGTTGTTACTGTAGCGACGCCGTCGTATAAACACAAGGTAAGATAGTTTCTTATTATTATAACGCAGCACTATAGCATCAGATAGAAGTATGAGTTTTAAACATAATTTAAACAGATTATGTGGCAATACAAAATATGGAGGAGGGGCTGGCCCAAGTAGCTCGGGAGAGGGAAGTCTGGGCCTCTCGGTTTAGGCCGCTGCCCCCGCGACTGGATAAGCTGTTGAAAGGATGGATGGATAAAAGGGCTGCACGATATTTGGAAAACCTGCGATATGCGATAACAGTGATTAATATTGCGATGATGATATTATTTGCGATAAATCAAAACTTAAATCAGGAACCAAATCATCAAAAACAAAGAAATAAAAAAATCATTAAAGTGAGAAAAGCAAAATATGGGAGTAAAGGGAAAAGAAAATGAACAAGAAAAGACGATCAGTGGATCCCGGGAAAAGCAGAATCAGCAGAAAGAACAGAACAAAGCTAACTCAGATGTTTGCTAACCGTCTAAATGAAGGCATCTAACCAATGAGAACCCATCCATTTGGACAAATGGGTGAAGAGCTCTATTTGATTTGTTAAAAAAACAGCATGCTTCTGTTTCACAGAATGCATTATGTGTAGAAAACATTTGAGCTGACCGTTCATTGTGATGAGTATCGGTTCTTTGCGATACGCATATTGTGCATGCTGATATCGTGATAACGATATATTTACGATATATTGTGCAGCGCTAATGGATAAGATGCGTAAATGTCAGAAGTCAACAAAAATCCACTAGTATACAGCACCTGGTTCAGAAATGCCCTGCGTGATACACGCCCACGCCTGCCCGTTTGGCAGGTGTAACTCAGATATTTTAGCGAACACTGGTACAGTGGTGCAAATGGGAATTGATTTTGAGTCATTTGATCACATAACTTGGAAGCTGTTGATTATTTGTGTGTGTTTTTGACCAACTACAGTTTTGTTGATGGTCCCAAAACAAAAACAGTTCCAGTGGCGGGTACACTGAGTACAGCTAACCGCTGTTCCCGCCACCGCGCGGGTCACCAACACCATAACTGTCTGTCGGATATTCAGCTTCACACTAACTTCACCGCGGTCAGTTACAGATCTGCCTCACCCGTGTCTATCACAGCGTAATATTGGTTTCACACAGTCAAAAAGTGGCGTCAGACAGGAACAAGGGCACTTGAGACAAAAGGGGCAGGTGCCCGCTGTGTCACGTCCTACCTAGTCGTTCAGAATAAGGTGTTTTGTTGACCTTCGTAGGTATCGTGTAAAATTTCTGCTTCATCTTTTGGCATTCTCCATTTCATTAGAACCCAACACAAAATGGTGAACTTGTCAGTTCTTTAATCTTTTCTGTAAATGTTTGTTTTAACTGAGTGTGCTATCAGCAAACCACGCCTATTTTCTGTTTACAGGCAGAAGACGGAAACATTGAATATAAGGTCAGTGACTCCTAATCTTCTCTGATCCAGGGGAGTTTTATTGCATCAGTTTAAAAACGGACACTTTGGCCTGAAAGGGTGTTGGGCCGGTTTTATTACCGTCGTTTTTTTTTACCGGCCAGTTCTTTGTTTATTTTCCTGTTTTTTCTTCCCCTTCCGTAGCGCGGTTACGGGGCTGTGGCCACCAACACCCAGCACCAGTGATGTCACAAACAAAATGGCTCTTTATAGAGCCGGCTGTTGAGTCTCACTGAGAGATGGTAGGAAGCAGCGTCCTTCATATCCGAAAGCAACGCTGCTCACGGCCGTCTCTAATTACCAACTAAACCAGGACAGCACAGACTGATGTCATTTCCTGTCCCGTTTCTAAATATCACAGTAGAATAATCGGCTGCAGCTGAAGAAAATCACAAATTGTTCTGAAATCTTAATTTCTGCTAGAAAAACAAACGCAATTCAATCTTTTCCTGAAATCGCTCAGTTCTAGTAAAATAAAGATGTTTAAATAAAATAAGGAATTTAAGGTTTTTTAAAGTAGTTCATTAAAGTGGCCAAGAACACACTTTACATATATTTTCTACAGTTTCAAAAATTCATATTGATCAATATGAATTACTTTAATCAGAATGAAGAGGAAACAATCTTTTATGCCAGTTTATTTGTGTAGCACGCTTACACTCAGCTGACCAAAGTGCTTCCCATAGAATACGAAAGCTGATAAAACAAACAAATACATATAATCACATACATGGCCATATAATCACAGGCCAAAGGCCAAATCATAAAAATGTGCTTTTATATAGCGCCTCTCAAGATAAGTCCTAATGCGAGCCTCAGCATCTGGATGGGGGGATGGAAATATCAACCATCGGTTTGTTCATGGTGTTCATTTTCTCCTTCAATAATAGATCTGAATGAACCCAGAACATGTGGTAATGCACTGTGATCCAGATGTCCATCTCTGCATATTTAATTTCATATCAACAACGTGTGACTGTCTTTGTTAAATTAGCATTGGTGCTTTGGTATCTGTTAAAAGGGCTAATGTATGGATAGAATACGTGTTCATCAGAGCCAATCATAAAACAACCAGAGCATTTGTTTCATTTAGTTTCTTATCAGAGGTTCTAATTAGAATTAGGGACAATATCAGTTTTTAGTTGATCTAATAATTAAATTAAAAAACGAGGACTGGAAGCTCCGGCGGGGGTCCAGATCATCGGCACCACTGTGCTGAACAGAGAAGACTGTTGAACTCCTTCAGACTTGTGCTATTTCTGGAGATGAAACATCAACGTTGCAGAGCAGAGTCATCGGTAGGGTCGTGTTGTTGTTGTTGCATTCATTCCTACTAGAGATCGCTGCACACGTATTAAGATATGAGTAAAGTTGACCTTTAACCATAAACTAGTTGACCAAACTAGCCGGACTCTGTCGGAGCATGGAGGATAGCACAGACAGAGCTTCCATTTCATCTCCAGTTCCTCAAACACACACATGCTTCTTTAATATGACGATGATGGAAGTACGTTTCTGTTCAGGTCAGCAGGTGCACTCTCATATGTCTCCTCTGATGCTATAGTTGAAGCTGGTCAACCCCACTCTGTACCGCTTCGAGCATCTGGCCACACAGCTGAAGTGGCGTCTGCAGGAGGGCCGTGGGGAGGCGCTCTATCAGATCGGGGTGGAGGACAACGGCCTGCTGGTTGGTCTGACAGAAGCTGACATGAAAGCTTCACTCAAGACCCTGAAGAGAATGGCAGAGAAGTAAGAGGAGTTGGTTCAGCCACTGCAGTTAATGCTCTAATTCAAACAGTGTCTGATATTACACCAGTTGGTGACACTGTTTCCCATCACACTAGTTAGGACTGGAGTGTCACTTAATGGTAAAAATGTATCGCTAGTATGACTATTGAATAGAGGATTATACATACATACATGATACACGATGTAATAATTACATCTAGCGAGATGTAATGACTGTTCGTTAGTGCGGCTAAATCTGGATGTTTTATGTGAGTTTCTAGTTTCATGTTAGCTGTCTCATCAGCTTGTCCTCTTTAGGGTGGGAGCTGACATCACTCTTCTTCGGGAAAGAGAAGTGGACTATGACCTGGACAGAACCACCAGGAAAATTGCTGAAGTTCTCGTTAGAAAGGTTCCAGATGATCAGCAGGTGAGCGTACCCTTCAGGCTCCGGACCCTCATAGCAGTTACGTCTGTAATCCAGCAGTCTCAAGCCCCACCTTGTCGTTCTCCTCCAGCTGGGGTGAAGTTTTTATTTCTCTTGGGTTTGCTGTACCCGAGCTTACAGTAGCTATTGCTCCCAAATCTGGTTTGTGGCAATTTCTGCATTTTTGATCCAAGAAAAGTGTTTATTTATTTCTGCAACAACAAAAAAATCCCAGAGTGGTTGAACTCTTTTTGTGAGTCTGATACATAAGATACTAAAGTAACTGTAATTCCAAATGTTTCTTCTACGCTTCCTGATGGAAAATGGACTCTTCCGTTCCACTGTGATGTTTTGGACCAACATCAGTTTCTGGACCTGCGAGTGGCTGTTCTGGGTAACGTGGACTCGGGGAAGTCAACTCTGCTGGGAGTGCTGACACAGGGGGAGCTGGACAATGGTCGAGGCCGCGCACGACTCAACCTTTTCAGACATCTGCACGAGATTCAGACTGGACGCACCTCCAGCATCAGCTTTGAAATCCTGGGCTTTAACAGCAAAGGGGAGGTAACTAATGTCACATGTGTCTAACAGTAGTTCATGTACAGCTGTAATCAGTGAAAATGAGGCCGTTTATGGCTTCACTTCAAACCTGTTGGTAATACTGTTGGTGCACCCCAGGGTTCTGTGTCAGAACCCCTTCTTCTCAGTGTGCTGTAAAAAGGGCTTTCTTGAAATTTGTCCAACATATCTAACCAGACCCAAACACAACTAACTACTTAAATATCAATAGTTAAAGTAGATAACTAAGTTTTGAAAGGGTCAATCACCTCATGGGTGGAGTCTTACCTCACCCACACTTCCTGGAGGCGGCGTTGCCTGGCGGACCAAGAGCCCCCCCCCCCCCCCCCCCCCCCGGACTCAGGTCCCCGTTGTGGTGAAAGTGAAATAAACATCAGTATAGAACATTATAGAAACTTTACACAGTTATTACACAATACAGTATATTTTTATAAATACAAATGACTGTAAAATACTTTTGAAAGTTATTTACAACACATGCATGAACATAAAACTCACCTCCGGCTGTTAACAAGCAGGCAGGCAGTTTTCCTGTTCTGCACACACACCAATATTTGGTGGATTACAGACCTGTGCTGATTGGTCGAGCAGCACCATGACGCGAACTGTCTAGCTGGATCTCTGATGATTGGTTGGGTGACATCAGAGATTCTAAGAGTCCGTGAAAGGCACGCTGACTTCATTTCTGATGTGGGTGGAAGCATCTAAACATTGATGCTGGACCTATAACAGGGTATCCGCGGGTCCTTAAAAAGTCTTAAATTAGCTTTTCCAAATTTAAGGCCTTGAAAATCCTTAAAAATGACTAATAATCCTTAAATACAGTTTCCAAAGGTCTTAAATTACCAAAGACCCAATAAACAAGATTATTTTATTTCTATAAAAATTTCGTGAATTTCTAGTTAGCGTTCAGCATTTTTTGTGTACGATGTTGCCGTAAGCGGAACCGTACACATGCAGTTGGTTGTGAAAGGGGGCTGTTTTTAGATGAGCACATTAGCTGGTTAAGCTAGTGGGAGTTTGCGCCATGGGGAAGTGCAAGTTTAATGGTAACTGGATGGCTAAACCCACGTTCACGACGTGGTTAGCACCGGTTCCAGGCAATAGCTGGAAATTATAGCTTAAATTTAATTTAAAAAATTGCTTAAATTTGGTCAAAGTGGCCTTAAAAAAGGTCTTAAAAAGTCTTAAATTTGGCTCCCTTAACCCTGCTATAAGCACTGAGGTAACCTGCTGTTGTTTCCATGTAAAAGGAGCAGAGCATCATCAGATACAAACAACAGGAAGCAAGGAACAGTCTGGCGACTGAACACACATACAGGAGCCCTGTAGATAAGGGTCTTCCAAAGAGGGCCGTTTGTCATGGACCTCAGTGGAGCATGGACAGCAGAGCACCAGACAGAATACAACATGTATGTGGATTTCAAAACCTTTCAAACCGACATGTTTGAACACAGATGCTCAGACGACCCGTTGAACCTGAGATAGGGTGTGAATGCCGCGCAGCGTGCTTCCCAGGTCACTGACAGCTTATGCCTCTGTAAGGGCTGACTGTTTCTTACCAACAGGTGCTTGTTTCTAAGGACATGAAGGCTTATTTTTGTGATGTTAACTTAACAGCTAAATGTTGGGCTTCACTTTAAACATGGCTGCTCGATCCCTGCTGTTCTGTGCAGGTGGTGAACTACAGCGAGTCACGGACAGCTGAGGAGATATGTGAGAGCTCATCCAAGATGATCACGTTCATTGACTTGGCAGGTCATCACAAGTACCTAAAGACCACTGTGTTTGGCCTCACTAGCTACTGCCCTGACTTTGCCATGCTTGTGGTGAGCGCCAACACTGGCATAGGTGAGGTGCAGCCACATGCTCCACTGACAGGAAACACCAGGATCAGTACAGACCTAGGTAGTGTGTCATGGTGTAGACATTATAACAGAGCGCTGGAACAACTCATGGTCCTGAAAAATGGAATTCTTCACAATCACACACCGAGTGCTGCTGTAGGGTCTTTCCTAGGAAGAGAAATAGCTGTGTGGTAAATGCACGGGGACTGTGTATTGTATAGGGACGTTCCGATCATGTTTTGTTGCGCCATGTCCGATTCTAAGTCATTTGATTTAGAGTATCTGCCCATACCGAGTCCCGATCCGATCAACAAAGCATTGCAATAAGAAGAAAACACATCCAAGTTGTCCTGTAGGCTTCATTCGGTGATTATCTTCTTTCTCTTTCTGATTTATTTTAACCTGATTGTGCCCTGAGCAATTTTATGACCAAATAAATAAATAAATAAATTACATTAATGAAAAAAAAAATCATCCTGCACAATCGACATCTCAGTTTCTGTCAAAATAATTGTAATTATCATTTTTGCCAAAATCGAGCAGCGTTAAGGGCTGTGATTCAGACCAATGGCAGACCTGCTGAGGCTACAATGGAGCGTGGCTAGACCGACCTGCAGAGAAGATCTTTTGCTATTTCTTCTTTTTGTCTAGAAAAACTACAAACACAGCTCGTTCTTGTGGTTCTTTGTCTGACACAGAGTAAGAGGAGCTTGTTTTTATCTTAGCTGACTTGTTTCAACGTATACCACCTCCATAAGAGCTATCGCCGATGTTGGTGACGTTCATCTGCGGGCAACAGAGGACGATATCGCCCTCTACGGCTGTCACTGGTCACTGTGTCCCATGAGTGGTCCAGCGTGTATACACTCCTCTTACCCTGTGCTAGACGAAGAACCACAAAAAAAATAATTCCGACAGAAAATAGAACGAAGGTAGCAAGGAGACAAACACAACTGTAAGTACAAAAACCTTAGATGTTCATCAGAACCACTGGACCAACGCAAAGTTAAACAGATTTAAAATAGTTAAGTATTTAACGATCTTCATTGGTCACTATTTTTTTAAATGCCAGCCAAAGCATCATCTATTCTCCACATTTTGGACCCTTCCTGTCTGAACGTCATCAGATGAGGCAGGTGCCGGTCAGCGTAGGACGTGTGTGGGCGGGCCTCGGTCCATACAGCCCACAAAACAGCTACATCAGACAGCGACGCTCTGAGAAGATCGATTAGACAAACAGGGTAGCCCACTCGCATGGGTGCCTGGGATCCGTACGAGGCTGTAGTCATGCTGGTCGCCTATGGAGATCTAATATGGACTGAGCCTGTTAAATTACAAGCGGAGCCTCAGACCGCTGCAGTCGTAGCTGGGCACCATCGACTCATGCTCCACGGTCAGAGACCAGCTACACGATAACCCGAAACTAACAGTTTTTCCGGGCATTTTCGGCAAGAAAAACACGGTAGAGCAACTCCAAAGTGAAGGCACCTCCTGTCTGCATACTAACAAAATCATTACTAGGTAAGCTGACCGAGGCTATCGGGCTTCGCTGTTCCGCAAGTCTGCCGTTGTCGACACGCCCAGAGCCGGGAATGTTGACAACGGTGGACTCGTGGATCTTTGACCACAGTGAAGCAGCAAAGTCCGATAGCCTCCGCTGTCCTCAGTCAGATATGTTGCTGTAATTTCGTCACCCAGCAGCCACACCAACATGTTGTATTCCAATCCATTTTAGACCAAGCAGTGTTATGGTAAACGCATAGAATTTCCTCCGTTCAACCAGAAGAAGTGAAGCAGTCTCGACTAAAAGAGCTGCGGTTTCTGTGGTCTCCCTCAGAGATCCACAAGTGACCAGCATGACTACAGCCTCGCATCGGAGCCGTCCGCGCGTCCCGGCCTGGGAACAGCCGGCTGTCTGCTCTAGCAACTCGTCTCCGCCAGGAAACAGAAGATGGGCATCCACTCAAGTTTCTTATCCAGCCAGCAGCCCCACCATGTTTGACCAAGCAGGGTCGCGTGAGTCAGCATTTCCCCCATTCAACCAGCGAATAAAGTACAGAAACATAATTTTACTTACTGATAACAAGAAGCAGAATCTGCTTGGATGATCTGTTGGTGTGGTCAGTAACCACAGCCTGCCCTCTTGTCCAAATAATTCCATGATTAACTCATTCACTGCCAGCAGTTTTCAGCATTTTCACAGTTTTTTTTATTAAGAGTCACAGAACGTTGCGCGCTAGGATGATGTCAATGCCCAAACTACCAAAACAAAGAGGAGACTCACCTCTTACATCAGGAAGAATCTGCACGTTTTTAGCGTTATCCGTTCTTTCATAATCCAAACTGTGATCGGCAGAAGCTTTTCCGGTTCACGCTTCGCTTTTTTACAGCAGCGGCCCAAAATGATCTCCTAACACATGGATGTTCTGCCTCCTGATCACGTGACGTGTGACGTACGTGGATGAAGATTGGCGTTACAGCTGGGATGTTTGTTCTCACGATGCGGGGGCTCGTTCCGACACCCACACAGTAAAAAAACAAAAAAAGGCAAATGACGACTTTAGTCGTCAGTGCAGTTAATGAGTTAACATCCAAACACAAAAGTTTAGAGAGTCAAAATGGCCGAACATATATTAATGTGAGGCCGAGGCATTTCCCCGGAGCTAGCTCTGAAGTCACGTAGCTCTGGTGCTTATTAAAGTGACAGTGTGTATTTTCCCTGGCAATAGGGGGCAGTAGATACCTAAATCATTGCAAGCAAGCATTATCTTTGTGTTCAAGTAAGACCTTGCCAACAGGTAGCCATTAGGGTCAAAAATCCCTGGGAGCGCAACCTCCAGCAAAATGACAAGCACATCCCACCCCCTTTCATCCGTGGCAACGAGTGAAGAGGTCAATGTGTAAAACTAAATGTTTATGAATGGTGAAAGTTTTGTAACCATTTGTTACAAATCAGTGTTTTGTCCTCATGGGCTTCCGTAGATGGAAACATGGCATCCAATATGGAGTTGCCCAGAGATTTAGACCTACTCCATGTATTTTAGACCAGATTTTTATGGTTATATGTTACGAAACTGCCAATAATTTTCAACAACTGGGCATCTTTTAATTAATTTACAGCATTTCAATGGATATTTCTAGAGAGTAAAAGTAAAAATCATCATCATCATCATCAAACTTTATTCCGGGCCTTTAAGGTCCATGATGGGAAGAGAGAGAGAGAGAGAGAGTTCTCATTTTGACAACAATAAAATTTTGGAGTTCGTCTTCCACAGTTGTTTTTCCATCTGCTGTCTTATACATAAGGATCTCAGGTTTTCCTTGAGAACCACCAACTCCACCAGCTCCTCTGACACGCACAGCCACACCCGACGCCATCCTAGCTTCCTGGCAAGGCAATTCTAGACTCTGTGGTTACCTCGAGTAGGCCACTTCATAAAAAACTACACATTGTCACTTTAATTATTCTCAATTTTAAGCATTTCATGACACTCAAAGAGAAGTGTAACAAAAACATTCACACCCCTCAACGTTGTCATGAGTGTAAACTAGATCTATTAAACCCAAAATGGGGTTTTGAACCAGGCTGTAAACATGGTTATTTCTGCTGTGAAATTGGTGTTTTTAACATGGCAGTCGATGAGGATTTGCTCTCTTCTGCTACCAGCCCCCTTGTGGATGAGGGTGGAACTGCAATGTTTGCCACTTCCGTGTTGGCTTTTTAAAGTTCATCCCAAAATGGCCCCTTGGGTATAATAAGCTTTATTCACTAACCTGATAAAGGTCAGGGAAACATGAAAGCCAGTAAAGTTTACTTTATTATCACACTTTCAAAAACACGTGGTCGGCATCTTCCACTAGTTTAACTTGCTGCTAATATAAAAAGCCGTTTATTTAAGATTCATGATCATTTTTTTTGTTGGAGCACCTGGAGATTTTTTGCTATCTGAAAAAACTTTTTTTGAATGAAAACTTAATTTTCACATTAAATGTTTGTATTTAAGAAATGACCATCAATGAAAACCCACTGCTCAGACCAGTTTCAGTTCTGGTCTGGCAGCAATGTCACTGGTCCTGAAATCCACCTAAATTGGTTCTCCCTGGTTAGGTTTCCTATAGGTCAGCAAATATTTTAACTCCTTCACTGCCACTGACGACTAAAGTCACCACTAGCCTCTTAACGGGCGGGCGTGGGAACGAGCTCGCTCACCTTGAGAATACACATCACAGCTCTAGAGCTGATTTTCACCCGTGTGTGTAACACCTCATGTAATCTTGAAGCGGACAGTCCAAGATTTAGGAGGTGGTTTTGGGCAGCTGCTCTGCCTAAAGTGAGGCACAAATCTGAACGCATCTGCAGCTCACACTTCCACAACGGATCGTGAAAGAATGAAAAATGTAGAAAGATGCTGATTCTTCCTGATGTAAGAAGTCCGTCTGCTCCGTCTGTTGGTAGTTTTGGTTTTAAATGGTCACAGAGAACAATATTCTGTGACTCTTCAAAAGAAAAACGAGTAAAAATGCTGAAAAATGCTGGCAGTCAGGAGATTTCTGACCAGATAACGGCTGGCAGGGAATGAGTGAATGATTAAGTCTGCTCATCATGAACACTTTAAAGTGACCGAAAGACAAATACAATAACGTACTACTAACCTTTGTTTGTGATGACTTATCCCAGTTAAGTTGTTCTTTACTGAGATGTCCAAGTTAGGCTTAATTAAAAAAATGTTCAGAATAAATGAAAAGTTTGACTTCCATGTTCTCAAAAATCAGAAAAGTTGAACTAAATCAACACATTTGAGTTCTAAGAACAGTTTTTATTTCAGCTCGACTTATTTCATTATTCTCAACGTTTAGGTTTACAGTGTGAGCGTCGTGGAGTGAACCGGTGCGGTTTGGTCAAGCAGGCATTTATCAGGAAGGCCTTGATGCTCTAAACTCGCTTTATGGAGACCCCCCCCCCCCCCCCAGTCCTGCAGAGATAATGAAACTGTACCTTAGTGGTTCTGGACTAAAACGTAAACTGCCTGTTAGGGTCGTGCCGTCTGATGATATACGATCATTAAGGATCATAAAGTGATAATCTATAAATACGATTCTGAAATCCTGCAGAGGGAACCGGGATCAGGTCGTGATGATTGTGTTCCATATCGCCCACCCCTGCTGCCTGGGTCAGTGATGTGGTTCCACTTTTTAAACTTGATATTGAGCGTTTTCTCACAGATCTTTCTTTTGATCAGTGGAAGCTTTTTATTGTCATCATGTCTCATTTTTGATTTGATAATGAAGTAAAACGGTTGTGAAGGAAAGATCACCTAAAGCCACTAAAGCTTACTTTATTACCACACTTTCAAAATCACATTCCCGCCACGTGGTCGGCGTCTTCTCACGCTTTGCTTTGTTGGCTCTGGTCTGTCCAGTCGGGACAACTCGTGAGCACTTGGGCCTGGCCATGGCGCTGAAAGTCCCCATCTTCATCGTGGTCAGTAAAGTGGACCTGTGCTCCCGCGGCACTGTGGAGCGAACGGTCCGCCAGCTGGAGCGAGTCCTGAAGCAGCCGGGCTGTAACAAGGTCCCCATGGTGGTGTCCAACCCTGACGACGCCGTGACCGCAGCGCAGCAGTTCACTCAGTCCTCATGGTTGGTGGCTCCAGGCACCGCAGCAATCACATGAAGGTTTAGTTGAAACGTTTAGTGTCGTCTGAGTTTCCTTTGTTGTTGTGCAGCGTCACGCCCATCTTCACCCTGTCCAGTGTGTCTGGAGACAGCCTGGACCTCCTGAAGGTGTTCCTCAACATTCTCCCTCCACTGAGCAACAGCAAGGAGCAGGAGGAGCTGATGCAGCAGCTCACCGAGTTTCAGGTATATAATCTACACACACCTGAGTTTGGTTGTCTTCAGGAGACTCAGAGCCCAACTCAGGCATGACTGAACCTCCTGGAGGTCTGTCGGTTAAATCAGACGGGTTCAGACTCTCTCTTCCAGTAGGGGGCGACCTCGGCTCCACCACGCTGATCCTGGGTTGTTATTGCATCTTCTAAAGAGTCTGAAACGGAACATTTTGGAGTGAACAACGCTGAAGTTTGGTCCTGCCTGTGTGTGTTTCCCAGGTGGATGAGATCTACTCAGTTCCTGATGTTGGGACTGTTGTGGGAGGAACTTTGTACAGGTGAGAGATGACATCATCTTCATCATCTACACCTTTTGCAAACCCAGAGTAGGTAACATGTGGGACTGGGACAAAAATTCAGGCCAGGAGTTTCAGGCCCAGCGCACACCAGAACGCTGCTGCCATTTGTCCATGCAAGTGTGTGTGTGTGTGTGTGTGTGTGTGTGTGTGTCCTGAATCTCTGAAACCAGCACACCAAGCGTACTGCTAAAAGGACAACCCAGTGGACTTCTTAATGAGAAAACAAAGAGAACAAGAGTGAAAAGCAACGATTAGGTTGGGACCACAGCGAAGGCCCACGTGGCTTCTCATTGGCCACGCCTCCGCATGGCAAAGGAGATGGTACGCGTCATGTCTGGAGAGAAAGCTGCCAACCAGCTCCACACCACCGCTGTAGCCCGGAGGACATGTGAAGTGGCAGCTGACGTACCAGGTGCTCCTACTGAGCGTGTGGGACTACTGATCCAGGTGCTGGTGTCCTTCAGGTATGAATGTGAAGTAAAAGCACAGAAGGAGTTTTTCTGCCAGCGACTTCAACCAAGGAACCACAGCGGGGAATGTTTTCAATCTCCTGAACTCGTTTATGCAACAAAATGGAAAAAGTGTGTCCGAGTGTGTTCTGATGGCACCTGCGCTCGTACAGGAAGTCACGGCGGTGCAGTAGCGCGGACACATGCTTTGGCTCCGGAGATGCGCTGGACTCACTGCAGCAGTCAGAGCTTAAAACTGTTCTCAGCTCAGCGGTGAAGGCTGTTACCTGTATAAACACCAGACCTTTACGTTCTCGCCTTTGTCATGTGCTGTGTGATGGGCAGCGACCATCTTCAATGGAGGTACGATGGCTTTCAAGAGGGAGGGTACCGACCAGGCTCTTCTACTACAGGGAGGTCCACCTCTCCTTGGCAGGTCTGTTTGAAGACAGTGTGGCTCAGGCTTGCTTCTCTGTTATTTTCCCACGTTTAAACAAACTCATTCTGGGACTACAGGGAATGTCTGCCAGGGCTTTGGATGTGCAGGAATAAACATTTTGTTTACATTTGCCCAGCAGATCAGCTCAGGAAATGTCCCGGTGTGTGTGTGTGTGTGTGTGTGTTCCAGTGGTGTGTGCAGGGAGGGAGAGCGGCTGGTCGTCGGCCCAACGGGCGAGGGCCGTTTCCTGCGTCTGAAGGTGGGCAGCATCCAGAGGAACCGCTCAGCCTGCAGGGTGCTGAGAGCCGGACAGGCAGCCACACTGGCTCTGGGAAACTTTGACCGCTCACTGCTGCGCAAGGTCAGAGGTAGCCTAAAGCCATGCAAGCATTAAGGAGGCGATTCAAAGCTGACAGAGCTCACCCCTCATGAGTTCTGGGTGGGGTCCGAATTATGGGGGAGCAAAGGAGAGGCCGGCTCCCCCGGAAGGGTGACTCACCCAGGGGGAGCCCGAAAAAAAATCCTGGTTCTACTTATACTTTATCATTAATGTGGACTCTGCGGGGTTCTTTTGAGCGGGGAGGACGCAGAGCGCTGGTCGTTGTTGCGCTCCAGGAAGCTTCGTCCTGCACACGGCCACAGTAACCTTCTCAAAGTGTCGCCGTGCACCCCAAAACAATCCAGTTAACACACGATGGTTAATGTCAGCTCATGTCCTCTCCAGCTGTTTGTGCCTTATGCGCTGCATCACCTGTCTTGTGCTCCCGGTGCCTCACTGATGCAGCCGGCACACAATCTGCCCTTCGTTCTGCTTAGTTCAAACGTAACTCAGGAGGTGAAAGTAGAAAGCCAGGCAGCAGTTTTTCTGTAGGACGGAGAGAAGAAGCAGGAAGGAAAGAGACAGACGGGACAGAAAAACAGCAAAATAAAAACAAGGGAACAAACATGTTTGAAAAGGAAAATGTAGGTAGATTTATCTACTACATGCCTTTACCGCAACAATCTATAAACATGTAATATTTATACATTTCATACAATTCAGATCAACTTCAAAGCTCAGCACCACACCCAGGGCCGTGCCAAGGCATTTCGGGGTCTAGGGCAAGAATAAAGCCCCCCTGGTAGCCTCTGTGTAATTCGTACCCTGGTGCTAGGATTCGTGTGTGTGTGTGTGCGTGCGTGCGTGCGTGCGTGCGTGTGTGTGTGTGGCCGTGGTGCTGCCGCTTTAGCACGCCCACTGGCTGCAGGTCAGTCTGACTTCCTGTCTCGACGATGCTGGGCTGTTTTCAGGGTATGGTGATGGTCAGCCCGAAGATGAACCCGACCATCTGCTGTCAGTTTGAAGCTGCCATCGTCCTCCTCTTCCACGCTAAAACGTTCAGGCGGGGGTCACAGGTCACCATCCATGTTGGGAACGTCAGGCAGACTGCTACTGTGGAATGCCTTCATGGAAAAGTAGGTTTTCTGATCCGCGTTCAGCTCACCGTGTTGTAGGTGATCCTGGTGTGACATCATCTCTGACTCTTCCAGAACGAGCTGCGGACAGGTGAGAGGGCCGTGGTTGGCTTCCACTTCATCAAGCATCCAGAGTACCTGCGACTGGGCGCCAAGCTGCTCTTCAGAGAGGGCGTCACCAAGGGGATCGGTCACGTCACACGCCTGTTTCCTCCCTCCCAGAACCATCAGAAACCATGAAAACGTCTCAGTCATCCTCCATCCTGGGGTCCAGAGCTTAGAGAAGACCTTCCTGGGTCTACGTTTGTGTCCTCATCTATGCCAGAATGCTTGTTTGAATCAAAAGTTGTACATTATTGTTATTATTGCACAAAAGGAATAAATATAAAAGAAAAATCCCACTTTTTCCCAAGTGTGAACACATTTACGTTTTAGTCTTCCAGCGTTTTGCCTTTTCGAACACATCAGAAGAAATCCTTCAGCTGGGTGGACAACACAGCATGACTCAGCTAAGCCGAGCAGCAGCCATCCAGGAACGCCACCATCAGGCACATTCAACGGGCCACGTTCCATTTCACACAAAACCGAACTTTACTGAGGACAAAGAATATGAGGGAACACGACACAGCTGCTGTAACCATGGTTACCGGTCGCCTGAACATAAACACAACTCTTGTCCCTTTTGGCCGGTGCGCGTTGAGGGTTGCTGCTTCCTGCTGCCGTCCCATTGGTGCCTCGCGGGGATTTAAACGACGCAGCTGATGAAAAGGTTCTGATCTTATTTCGATGCTTCCACATTTCTTTGCAGCTGTAAACACTGAGTGTGTTCTCCACGACTGCAGAAGCTGCTGCTACTAGCAGGTAGCCGCACTGCTGACTCAGCATGTGTGATTGCTGACTCAGCAGCACCTAGAGCAGCCTGGGGTCGGTGGGATTGCTTCTCCTGCCCGTCCCTCTGGAGCCAGAGCGAAGGCGGCTGAGATTCCTTCTGACAATCCTTCCATGTTTCCAGAGCCTTTTAACTGGAGTTTGGACTAAAATGGAACATCAGATATATTTCTAATGAATTGGAAAAATCTCGATTCATTATTTAAGAGACATGTAAAACTCTGTCTGAAGCCCAGTCCAGCAGGGATGCGCGGTCCTCCACGTGTGTTGCAGGCGTCTCCGCTCCAGCAGGAGTAGAGAAACTAAAACATTTAGTCAGAAGTTACAGAAATGTGGTTTTGTCTTGTTCTTGCTATCCTGTCTTCTCCGCACGTCAGAGTCAGATCACCGATAACCCGTGTAGCTGCAGCTCTGACATCTGCCTGGCTGCTCTGGCGGAGCTCTCTGGACTGCGTCCAGCCTTCAGGGAGGACGGGTTGTTAAAAAAACACGATGACGACACAATCGAGTCTCTGAGGCTGCATGAAGACCTCGCTGTGAGTCAGTCTTTGCAGGGTCCTGTAGAGGTTCGTGTTAGGTCCATGACCATTTCATTCTTCACGACCAATGTACGCTGGCTCATGCGGCCTGGAGTCATGGACACTGCCCTCTCTACCAAGCTCCACCCACAAGTCCAACGTGCAACCACAAGAACAAAACACTCAGACCTCGATGTGGGCTTTGTGGATCTAGCAGCGCCTGCTGAGCAGGTGAAACTGGAAAAACGACAATCGGTGCCGAAGTTCCCTCATGTCACTCAGACAGATGCATTTAATGCAAATCCAGAAGTTTCCGACATTTGTTGTAATTATGATGATTATGTCTTACAGCTGATGAAAACTCCACCTGCAGTATTCTAGACTGATGACTCCGGAACACCAGCAGAGGGTTCCTGAGCCTCTAGATGGTCTCAGTCGGAGCTGGAGTACTGACATAGATGGACTTCAGCACCAGATTCTAGTTTTTATAGTTTTTTTTTAAAGGTCTGAAAACCTTCTGAAGGCTGTTCTGACTGATGACACACCCGGGTTGTAACCCCATCACTTCTTCAGCATCAGGCCAGTGGGAGGTGATCTGGGTCCAACGTGTTCCAAAGGAATCCTGCTGTGGTCAACATGACATCATTGGTTTGTGTACTAGGATCCTTGTGGGAATGTGTTGCAGATGTAAGGATCCTGACTAGGATGCAGGTGAGCGTCAGAGACGTGGAACATGGCAGGAGAAGGAGCGTAGCCGAGTCATGATGGAGGTTTTTTAATTAGTCATGTTCTAGCCGGTGGTGAAGTCTCAATCCAGCGAGACGAGGTCACGGGGATGTATGGATGGAGAAAGCTGCCCACACACAGACGGGCGTCTGGCTACGCCAGGCTCCTCTGGCGAGTCTTGATCCTCGGGTACAACTAGGGATCAAAATAAAACATTAGGAGAAGTTTAAAACCTCAAACGGAAGACTGTAGTGTTAACAGACGGTGCACGGGTTGTTCAGTCCTGAACTCCAGCACAGTTTTCCTTACTTGCCCAAAATGAGGATTTTAAAAAAATTCCAAATTGCATAATTTAAAGGCACACTAAGTAAGTTTTGGCCCTCTTTAACACTCTACCTCTCTGTGCGTTGCATAAATGTCTCCTCGGCCTTCATTAGCTCCTTCGGGAGGTTCATCTGGAATTGGAACAAGTCTAAAACATGCAGGAATCGTGGTGGAAGCACACTTCGGCGGGAGCACGTCGGCACGCCCAGAGACACGCTCTGGATCGCGTACTGAGGAATGTGAGCGTACATGTCTACGTGCTAGCCTCTTTACTGTTGACTAAATACTGGTAAATAATGACGAACGCTGGAGAAAACATCCTGAGAGCAGGAAGTGCATGACCACATGGAGACGCTGAAGTATGTTTAAACCCAAACATGGAAGTGTGTCAGGAGTTGGCGTTTGTGTGTGGGTTTCTGCTTTCGCCTTCAGGCAGCCACAGGAGGGCACTAGGGAGACGCTCATCACAGCTCCCTCTAGGAGCTGCTCTGGCAGGTGTGTTATCCACATACCTGCACTCCATGTAACCAACAGCAACCAGGAGGATGAAAGGAGAGGAGGCCAGTCATCCAGTGCCAGAGCGTTAACCTCAGTGGTAGCCTCCAGCCCCTGCCTCTGAAACCTAGCTCTAGTGTATTCCTGATTCTAGTTGACAACCATGATGTTAATCTTGTCCTCCTGGCTCCTCGGGCTAACCGGCTGCCTGTGGTGATTCCTGGAACCTTCTAAGTCCACCATCCACTCTAGACCCACCATCCTAATCTTCATTACTGGCCTTCCCCATCTCCTGAAAGCCTCCTGAGCTCCTGTTTACCTCCATCATCATCCTCAGCTGCTGTGCGTCTCCTGTCCACCCTCCAGCATGGTGCCGTAAGCTACATCTCATTCTTCTACCCAGATCCCGTTCAAAAGTTCCCTACGGTTCACCATCTATTCTACAGTTGCCCATCTCTGGACCTCACCTACTGTACCACCACTCCAGCTCCACCTCCCTCCCTGAAGTCCAGCTACTCCTCACCTTCTGTAAGCATCTACTCCTACCTGCTATTAGATGATCTCCTGCCCAACTCATCTTCTCTCTTGTTTTATAGTTTCCGGGTTCCTGTACCCGACATCCGTCTTCGCTGATTAGCTCCAGTTCCCTGCCTTCCATAACACCCAATTCTTAATAAATGTTCATATACCTATTCTGGTTTCCTGTGTGTATTCTCTCCATGTGGGTCAAACATTTGCCACGGATCATGACGTCGGAGCGCTGGGCGATTACGGCACATTACTCTAGAAGCTACGAGCAGCTGTGACAGGACCGGCAGGCGGAGTGAACAGCTTCACCGGGAGTCGTTACAAAGCTGGTTCGACCATTGTCCCAGGTGGTGATGAGACTCAAACGACGATTCGATGATGTGTGAGGATCAGTGTTGGGAGTAAAGCGGTATGAAAGTAACTAATTACTGTAATACATTGCTTTTTGCTGTAATGTGGTAATGTAAGGCATTACAGGGAGAGAAAATGGTAATATTTACTCGGTACAATTGTCAGTAACGCGGTAATTACAATGCAGTTTTAAACCCAGAATCAAGTTGTGGGTTTCTTAAAATTTCAAATTGAGGGAAGCCCTAAAAAAGATCCAGTATCTGCATATATTACATCATTTATGGACTCAGTGGTAACAGCTCAAATACTCCAGCTGGGTCCAGAGCGCGGCTGCTGTATCATTCACAAAATCTCTCCACCAAAACAAAAGAATTCACCTGCGATCGTATCAGCCCATATTCTCTGGTACTTGCTGTACTTTTCTGACGTGCTTTGCCTCAGCTGAATTCGTAATTCAATTCAAGTTTATTTATATAGCGCCAAATCACGACAAGAGTCGTCTCATAGCACTTCACACAGTAAACATCCCTGTTCATTAAGCCTATCAGAAAAAAGTTTCCTATAAAAGGAACCCATCAGATTACATCGAGTCACTGACTAGTGTCAGATTCTTTACAGCAATCCTCATACTAAGCAAGCATGCAGCGACAGTGGAGAGGAAAACTCCCTTTTAACAGGAAGAAACCTCCAGAGAATCCTGGCTCAGTATAAGCAGCCATCCTCCACGACTCACTGGGGATGGAGAAGACAGAGCAGGCAGACACACACACACGCACGCACGCACGCACGCATGCACGCACGCACGCACGCACGCACGCACACAAACACACACACACACACACACACACACAGTAGTGTTTCTATGGTTACATTGTGATTTCTTAGTAAATATTCTATTTGGTGAGAGATAAACTTTAATGTATGTATCCTAGTGGATCTATAATTAAACGGGTAAACTAGTAGTAGCACATGTGTTCACCAACAGAGACGACTCAGTCCCTGAGACGACTCTTGTCGTGATTTGGCGCTTAATAAATAAACTTGAACTGAATTGAATGAATGACAGACGGTATTTAGGTACTTTTCATGATCATACATAGAAGCCCTGTATTTAGACTGTGTCAGTACACAGGTCCAACAGTTGGGTGGGCAGCTCACCCCAAACAGGTTGTGAGGAACGTATCCTTCATGGTCCCCGCATCGTGCCCACCACCATTCTGTCTCCATCTCATCTTCTGGTCTCAGCACTGTGATGCAATCACCCTCCATAAAGCTAAGTTCATCCTCATTCTGAGGCTCCCAGTCCCAGAGAGCATACACCACTCCGCGGTTCATCACTCCCATCTTCTCCTGAACTCCTGCAACACAAACAGAAAAAATACCAAAATAAATCACAACCAGCCTACCTCTAAACTGATCTAGTCCTTGCAAGTGATGCATGATATCCAACACCTTGAACACCAAAAAGTTTAGAAGAACTTGACAGAACTTTAAACATGAACTTTTCTTCCACTCGCAGACGAGACCTGCTGGAGATGAACATTCATGCGTTCATCTCCAGCAGGCTGGACTATTGCAATGGTCTTTTGACTGGTCTTCCTAATGAAAAGCTGTGAAGCACCTGCAGCTTATTCAGAACGCTGCTGCTAGAGTCTTAACAAGAACCAAGAGAACTGAGCACATCACTCCTGTTCTTAGAGCTCTACACTGGTTACCAGTAAACTACAGAATCCTTTTCAAAGTACTTCTACTAGTTTATGAATCACTGACTGGCATGGGGCCAGAATACATGTCAAATCCCTTTCAGGTATACCTGCCCAGCAGGACTCTGAGATCCTTAGGAGGCAGTCAGCTGGTAGAACCGCAGCGTGAAGCTGCTTGTAGCTACTATGCCCCAACTCTAGTCACTTCTAAATCAAAATCAGCCTTTTAATGACCATTTATTGTGCTGCACTTACTGCACTGTAACTGTTCACCCTTTAACTTTGTATTTTCATGTTATTCTTACAACTAATTTAATTTGAGTGTTTGTATCTGCTGTTTTCTGTTGTCCAGTTGATTTTAATGTTTCATGTTCTTGCTGATCTTGCACTTGGAAAGCACATTGAATTGCCTTGTGTATAAAATGTGCCGCCTTGCCTTGCCATAAAATGTAATTTGCAACAGAATAGAGCTTGTTGGCCCACGTCTTACCATAAAGGAACTGAGCGCACTGAGCATAGCCGTCCTCCATCTCCTCACACTTGTCAGCAGCCGTTTGCATGTCGCTGTACGTAGAGGCAAAAACTGCTGCCCCAGATTCCACCAGGAACTTACAAAGCTGCACGTTGTTGCAGGAAGCAGCACAGTGCAAGGGCGTCCTGCAGACAGAAAGACGACGTTTGTCAAATTTGACACTAATGCGTTTCAGGAAAATCTGATGAAACACATGTCGAGGACCTCTCGATGCAGAGAGAGTTGCCAGGGCAGGAGATGTTTCAGAGGGAATGGCGGGGACGGGTTTGACTTTGTCAGACAACATCAGAGAACACGCTGATGTTGTCTGACAAACTAGTTTAATTTTTATTCTTTTGTCAAACTTGATGTGTCCCAAACAGAAGCATGCTTCTCCACACATCAAATGACCTGCTCAGTTTGGAGAGGTGTGCAATAAATGTTCTTGGCAGCTGGAGCTACTGTGGTGACGTAATTAGCTTAAAAATATATATTTATTCATTCAGTTCAGTTCTGTTGTCCCTCACCAGAAAATCTGAAGCACAAAAACAGTCAAGGATGAACACAAGCACAGTACACACATATCCACGTCATCATATCCTGGTGCAAGACAGTTATTAAAGAGCAAACTGCAGGTCAGACACTCCCAGGAACCGATTTTTGGAGAAACATAAAAAGGAGGGTGGGGGCGCAGCTTGTGAGTTAACCATGCTAGCTTAAACTTGTGTGCTAGCATCCCAATATAGTACAGATTACTATCATCCATCCATTGTCTTTACCCGCTTATCCTCGCAGGGTCTCGGGGGGCTGGTGCCTATCTCCAGCTGTCTCCGGGCAAGAGGGCGGGGGACACCCTGGACAGAGTGCCAGTCCAATGCAGGGCAACACAGAGACACACAGGACAAACCACCAAGCACACACACATTCACACCTAAGGACAATCTAGAGAGACCAATGAACCTAACAGTCTGTCGTGAGCCGGGGTGAGTACTCGCTCTCACAAACTATCTCCGAGTATGTTCACAGGAGAGGGAGCGGCAGCTGCATCGCATCAGCTGATTCAGCGGATCTACTACTAAAGGAGATGGTGAACACAGCTCGACGCCAGATGATTACTACAACTTGGTAGTGCCCAGCCCTAGCTCTAGCGCTCTTGGTTTCTCGTGATTAATCTCAGTGTATTTTTTGCACTTGTACGTTTTTGGACCTTGTGTAATCTTTGTATTTTTGGACTCACCCACCTCAGGCTCTTCGCTCATCTGGAATTACTCACTCAAACTCCACAGGACTCCTGGACTCCGCATTCAGCCACGTTCATCATCCTCCTCCCAGACCATCCCGCTCACACTCCAGCTCAGGAGATCTCACTTCTGGATCATCCCCGGCTCTCAACCTCCCCTCGTTACCTAAACCAAACCATCTCCCGTGAGTCCCCTCTCAGTATTCCTGCCTAGACTGTTTATCTCCTGGACTCACCTCTGGTTCGCTCTCCCTCAGACCCTGGTTCCCGTTTTCTCCCCCTGATCCGCTGGAATTCTCAGCGCGCCCTAAGTTCCCCTTAAATAAGAAATTCAGTTGTGATTCTGCATATCTTGGGTTAGACTTATCCCCAAAACCATGACACAATTATGTTTTTGGACTGTGGGAGGAAGCTAGAGCACCTGGAGAGAACCCACGCATGCACAGGGAGAACATGCAAACTCCATGTAGAAAGACCCCAGGTCAGGATTTGAATCCGGGGCCTTCTTGTTGCAAGGCAACAGTGCTAACCACTCCCCAGATTACTATCATGTACCAGACAGTTAAAGTAGTATCGGTCAGTTAATATAATATTAATACTAATGAGTGTCTGTCAGCTGTCTCATACTCGTTAATATCCGTTCACCTAACATAGTTTAGCTTAGAAAGATGCCTGTCATCCAGTTCTGGAGCTCATGCGGGCTGGATCCGACCCAGACACCAGCGAGCCGGTCGAGTCGGTATTTTTAAAAGCCGCGCATCTTCTCCTGGTGGTCCAGGCGGCGGTTCTGATCCGGTACCTACCCGCAAACCAGATGGCCCGCTGAGCCCCGCGTCTCTTCTGATGGTTGGATCTGATCTGGTTCTGACGGTGATCTGAGCTCCAGAAATCCACATTTCATTTTTTAAACCCGCCACGGGTCTCTGGAGCCCAGCGTGGACCTCCCTGATCCAGTTCTGACCGATAATTGGTAAATGGCGTGTATTTGATATAACGCCTTCTAGAGTCCTGGAACCCCCCAAGGCGCTTTACAACACAATCAGTCATTCACCCATTCACCCACACATTCACACGCTGGTGGCCATGAGCTACAATGTAGCCACAGCTGGCCTGGGGCACAATGACAGAGGTGAGTCTGCCGTAAAAAAAGGCGCCACCGGTCCCTCCGAACACCACCTGCAGGCAAGGCGGTTTAAGTGTCTTGCCCAAGGACACAACGACAGCGAAGGACTGTGCAGGACTTGAATCTGCAACCTTTCCATTACTGGGCAAGCACTTAACTCCTGCGCCATCGTGGCTCCGTAGATCGATGTGGACTACAGAAGTCCCATCCTTTCAGCTGCACACAACGCCCTCAGGCACGGAGATAGAGACGTTGTTTCTCTTATCTGGAACCCCGTGGACTCGATGTCGATGCTACGTAAGGATAAAGGAAGATCATTCCAAAGTCGGGGTGCAACAGTCTGGAAGGAGCGATCACCTCGACTTTTATATCTGGTCTTTGGAACTTCTAGAAGGTTCTGGTGTGTGGACCTGAGGGCTCGGGTTGGATCATAAGGCTTTAACAGTTCAGTAAGTTGAACACAGAGCTTGGAACTGCAAATCTTGCAGGAGTGGGCGGGTAAGAAAAAAAAACGCAAGTCCATAATCATTCTGCAAGGAGTTGGAGAGTGCTCCTGGGGTAAAAACAAACCTAATGCTGGAGAATGAAACTAAATAAAAGAAAAGATAATTAGACACATGGAACCAACAAACGTACGCTAGGGACAGTTAGACCGTCAGAAGGGCCGGGTTCGGGCTTCAAGTCCCTTTGGTCATTTCAAATGATTGGGCCTGTTGAGAACTAGTATAAACCTTGTTTTTGTTGGCCTATGTATGGAGAAGAGGGTGTGAGCAGGATTGGACACAGATAATAGTGGCAGTGAAAGAGATGGACAGCAGAAGAGGGCAGAAATTCAACAGGCTAGAAAGGGATTGAATAAATGGTCCCAGGCAGGGCTTTAGCGTATTTCTCAGTGGCATAGAGGACAGAGGTATGTTCCAATTCTCCTTAGAAATAATGTCAAATGAGAGTTGTTGATCTGTTGTACTTTCCACATGTCATACTGGAAACTTGAGCTACATACTCACCAGCCATCGCTGTCGGCAGCATTCACGTTGACACCAAACTGAACCAAAAACTTGACAATCTCTGTGTGTCCAGCGCAGACAGCATTGTGCAGTGCTGTGATTCCCTCATCGTTGGGCATGCTGGGATCTTCTACCTGCATGAGAAACATCTTCCATATTTAACAGAGTTTAGTTTAGTTTTTCAAACATTTTCAAACACGGCGATCATAAATAAACAGAAAACACAAAGAAAGAACGAGAAAGAGATCTTTAATATAGTGCCTCTCAAGACAAAAATCACAAGGTGCTTCACAAAAACAAAGAGTTTCATTGGAATGTATACTTTTCCACCATCTGACCACAGTTGAGTGAGTCTATTGTGCCCTGTGGGTGTGTCTCTAATGATGTCATGAGCACCACCAGTTTTTCTTCTTCCTACCATGTCCTGTCCGGCTGTGAAGCAATCAGAATTGATGTCTGAATAGCGAAGACAAGCCTTGCAGTTTTGTTCTCACAGGTGGAGCGTTATAGGTTCTGCTATAATGCCACACCTGATACCAAAACGTTTTTAGAAATATTTTCAGTTGTTTAAAATACCAACAAACACAGACAGAAGTGTAAGAGAATGGGGAGAGAGAAGGAAGAGGTGGGGGAGGGGTTTACAAAAATCAGCAATAAATGGTGAACAAGAATCTGGTTCTAGACCTGCAGAAAGAGAGAGAAGGGGACACACAACAATACAAGACCAAAATATCGCTGCGCCAACAACTTAAGGGTATATAAAAGTAATTATTGTTTCTGAAAAACACACGGTAATAATTCATAGTGCATTTAGTGTGAACCACAGCCACCACACAGACGATGTGTTGAAAATGCCCAAGTCCATCCTTGTGAGAGCACCACAAGTTGACCTCACTGCCATCTGCGACCATCTCCTGTCACTTACTTCTCTCCTGTTCTGGATTTTTCTCCGGGGTTCCAGTGTTCCTGTCTTCCTGGTCTTCGATATGGCATTGGTTCTTGCCTGGACGTTGCTTTGTTTGTATAACACTTTTGCTGATTGGATGTATGCTGACGTCTCCACTGTGTGGGATGTTTGGATAACCTCACTCTTCCATCTGCAGCTGTTGCTTACCTTGGATATAACACCATCTTCTACGTCCAAGGGACCTTTCTACTCTCTACTATGGGAAGGGGGGGGGGGGGGGGTTACTTGAGAGCCTCTATTTCATCTGCAGCCGGTGTGTTACAAGATCTAACACAATCTGTGGCCGGTAACCAATGTGGAATTTGGCCTTCACCCATAACATCTGCCAAAGGTGTTCCATCACCTCAGAAGTGAAGTGAGTCCCTCTGTCCAAGTTAACACGTGTGGGGAGACCTGACCTGGAGAAGATGTGGTTCATCAAAAGAGCGGCAGTGGTTTGTGCTATTTCTTTAGGTGCTGGTGAAGATTCAACCCACTTAGTGAAAAAAACAGATCACAGTCAAGAAGTATTTGTTACCCCTGGTGGACCTGGTCAGGTCTGTGGTCCCACAGGGAGGCCAACAAACTGTACTTTCGACCTTCACCCCTGACTTTTGGTGAGGGAGATTTTCACGCCAGCAGCTGTGAGCTGACCCATGACATGGTCCAGCTCGAATAGGTAGTCTTCCAAAGTCTGTTTACGAATCAGAATATCATCGACGCAGATGATGGTCCAAGAAGGTGTTAAACTCAGAGGGTGAGTTAGAGGACACCATGTGAAGATGTAATGGCAGTTGGCGAAGGGGGAAGCTAGTTTATATTGGTCAGAAGCATTGGTCAGGGACTGTCCAGAATCCAGAAGCAATGTCAAGTGTGGAAAGGTATTTAGCATCTCTCACCTTCGGAAGTTCTTGTTCCAGGTGGGTCATCGACCACTGGGGCAATGGAACCTGTTGGTTTAGTTTTCTTAAGTCAATGGTTAGCCACCACTTACCATTAGGTTTCCTCACTGGCCACAACGGAGCTGAGAAGGTGCTGTTACAGGGTCAAATGATACCCTTTTCTAAGAGGCTGTCAATGATTTCCTGGACAGGTTCATGGGACGCCAAAGGAATCTTGTATTGTTGCACGAAGGTTCTGCGGTGCATGTTGTGGTGTAGGAATCCTCACCTCATGGATTGTAGTCAACCCACAATCTAGACCAGGAGTGGGCAATTAATTTTTACAAGGGGCCACATGACAAAACCCGAGTTGCATCAGAGGGCCACATTAACGACATCTTGAACCCAAGTCTGCTTAACTTTCTTAAATTGTAAAATTCACTAAATTATAATCACAAATAGCTGGTACTGGTAATCAGAATAAAACTAAAATAAAATAATGTAAATATTGGTATTAGGCTATGCTATGTGAAACTGTGGCGCATATTCCAAATAAAACAAAAACAACCACCGAATCAATCATTTTCTTTTAGCATGTTTAACTCAACAAACAAGAAGTTTATAGAAATGCAACAATACAATGACTTGTGTCATGTTTTCTTCAGTGAGAATAATCCAGCCTGTTTTGGTTTTGAACAAGGGCATTGAAATCTGGCTGAATGGCTGAGGTGGCTATGCGAAGAACCGC